AACTGTTTTGGATAGAGTAAGGTAAGGTTAAAAAACCGGTCATCTTTCTTTTTGTCATCAGTGTCCCATTGGGGATATTTCCCTTCACTTCCTGTTGGATAGCCACATCAGCACGTGAGAAGAAATCCCTGGGGGTCAGCAGGGTAACCAGAGCTAGTGTCCCCATTGGAACATTTCACCTTTATTCCTGTTCTGGTGACAACCCAAAATGGGTGATTTTCTTTCACTTTCAGTGATAATGGTCATCGGGACAAATAGAGAGGGTGAATCTTTGTTTGTAGAGGCTTCAAGTGACCTTATGGAGGGAAAATATTGGTTAAGAATGAAAACTAGAATTAATGACATTGTGTGGATATACTGTATATAACTAGGGATGTCCCGATACTAGTATTGGTATTGGAGCCGATACCAGGCATTTTCACAATTAGTTGTAAATATTGTGTATAAAAGTCGCGCTAAAGTGCAAATAGTGCTAAAGATGATAACAGATATCAAGGTACCATAAAAGGGTGAAAAAAAATCAATATCCAAAGATAAAAACTTATTATACATTGTTTCTTCATTCATGGGGACTCTTTCAAGGTGTCCTATATTATCATTCACTCGGTCGATGGCACACTGAACTTTTTGGACTTTGGATTTATATATTGTCATTTTCTGTTTTTTCATTATATATTCTGAGTATTGCTTCAACTTTTTATCCACTTGTTGATTGAATGGTATATTCAATTATTTACTGATATCAATTTTTTGCTTTACACATTTATCTGTATTTAGTATTCAAGATTGTTCATCTAATTTGATATATCTTTGAATATTGATTTTATTCACTCTTTATGGTACATGGATATCGGTTTTCATCTTCAGCACTATTTGCACTTTAGCGTGGCTTTTATACACATTTTTTTTTTAATCTGGTCACTTTGCTAGATTAAGGCTGATGCTTATTCTGTTAGACTATTTGGCTGGCGCAGAGCATTTATTTTCATATTCACGGGTATTTGTACTCGCAAAAAGGCCCCGATACCGGCCCTTTACATTTTTAAAGAAGTTCGGCTGTCTGAATTCCCATGCCTGCTTGGCACTTCAGGCAGCTGTCTTTGACAATGCCTGTCCAGCCCCACATCTCCTCCTTCTCCTTTCCGGCACCGGCAGAGACAGGCACAGCAAAGGATAGCCCTACACCACCTGTACAGCCCTAGAGCCCGGCACCCACTCCCAGAGGCCTGCATCCACATGCAGCCCTTGTGAGAAGTGAATTCAAGGAGCACTTGGATGGCTTTGCTTTGTCATTTAATGGACTAATTTCACTTAACTATTGGTGTGCTAATGACATCCTTCAATTCTTCAGGGTGCCGTCCGTGGTCACTACAAGCACCCACCTGGACGCCACAGGTTAAACTACAAGCCGGTAAGGAGTGCAGCAAGAGACGTCTGTATTTTACCTGTCGAGGACCGCACGCAGCCCTGGTGAGGACCGCACACAGCCCTGTATAATTGCTGAATAATCATAGACTGATAGGATCAATGATTATACAGCAATAGAGAATGGCAACCAACTATAGACTACAAATCTCAGAAAAACATGATTTCTGGTTGTCATTCTCCATTGCTGAATAATCCTGGATTGCTGAGATTTGCATCATGGATTGAGTTACATAATTATAAAGAAACTGCCCTAAAATCATTAGTCTGTATTGTTTTAGAAAAAATGTCATAAAATGTCGGTAATTGGTATCGGCAAGTACCTGAGGGAAAGTACTTGTACTTTTGTCTTGAAAAAGTGGTATCGGGACATCCCTATATAAAACCATTTCAAATGTGAGCACATGATGTACCTGTGCTGAAGTTTAGCACTGAGCCCACATTATCTGCACTGATGTGTAATTGAATATATAGACAAGAGGTCACTGATGGATGGTGTTCTCTGCAATGCATACCGTGACCTTCATGACACTACGCTTTCTGACGAACAAACAGCGGATCTAAAACATTAAAGCCAGAACCAAGTAATTACCCATCATAAAGTTAATTACGGAATTTAGTATTTACATGTTGCAAGATGCATACCCAATAATCTTTTATAAGCTATCCCTGTGAGGAAGTGGAGGCTGATCAAGAGAGCCAACACAGACTTTCTTTTCGCTGATGTCAAAGTCTGTTGCATTTCATATCTCCCGGCAGTACTACGAATATGAGCATGTCATGGAAACATCCACTGTAAGTTTGTGGTTTCTTACTTGCTCTTTTCGACTCACAAAAGGTCCAGCAAGATCCTGATGAAGCGCAGTGGATGAATGGTGAGCACACTCCCATAGAAGGTCTGGGATCATTCCATACTCATGCCAGTGAAACTATCGATTATGCAAGTTTCCTATCATATACATTCACTAGAATGTCTCCTAGTTGTTAAGACTCATCTAGTTGTTACTCATCGTCTTCCAATCGTCTTTAAAACACGAAAGTCTTGAGATGAATTGTAACATAATAGAGCACAAAGATTTCTGATACGCACTTTGACACATTTGGCTCGCTGTGGTATAAAGAAAGCTGGCCGGGGAAGCAGTGCAGCTCAGACCTACTAGCAGCTACTTTGGGATATCAACTTTTTAAAATAAGTCAATCCGATTATTAGAAATGATCTTCAATTGGCAATGCCAGTGCAGCTCGTGTATTCCATTCATCTTTTTTATTATCATATACATAAAAGATATATATTTATTTTTACAGTGTCATCATGTTAGGCAAAATTCATCCACTTACATAGAGAATTTATAGTAAAACATATGAATTGCACAAATACAGAAAATCAGCCAACAGTTTGTTTTTCCCCCAAGAAATATCTATTCCTTAACACTGACAGGAAGGAAAAGGTAAAATGTCACTCTGGAGGTGCCCAGCCAGGGAATGCGATCACATAATGAGACACTAAAACATGGCTGTATAGTAGCATTGCCAAAAGAAATGATTATCCATATAACAGATCAAATCACATCCCTTCAGGCAATTAGGGTTTATCATTTCATAGACATTTAAAGAAGTACAGTAAACATATACTATTTAGAACTGAGAGCCGAAACACATTAGGGATGTAGTTGCCAAACACAAAAAGCAACCAATGTCTTTGCAGGCTCCAATGAAATAACCTCCTGCCAACTCTGGCTTATAGAGAATGCTGGGACTTGTACTTCTTCTATAGCTGGGGTCATGACAGCCCTGGGGTTAGGATTTGGGCAATCTGCCACCGAGCAGCCTGAACTGCCTATCCACCCATAAAAAGTTACAGCAGATCTGCCTGTCCACCCATAAAAAGTGGTTTTGGTTGTTAATGTAATTCATATCCGGCTGGGAGTGACATTTTCATTTGTGTAAACCACCTTTTATGATACAGTGATAAAGGTACAACATAACACGAGAAACATTTTCCTATTCTAAAAACGACCACAATGAACACGCTCTAGGACGAATATCATTTATACCGAGGTCACATCCCCCACAGGGACTTCTTCATCTGCGAACATTCACGTTTCCGTATTTCACTGCTATCTTCTCACCTGCTTCTTTTTTGCCGTTAGAATGGTCTGTGCTGTGTCAGAAGTGAGAATGGTGATGAATCGAGGACCTGAGGATGTTTATGAAATGGAAACAAATGCGTCTTCACAGCCAATCACATTTAAAGCTGAACTCCAGGCACAAACATTTGCAATTAAATATATTCCTTAATGGCCATAAAGGATAAATATTCACTTTATGTGCCCTAAATGCCTTTGTAAATCCAGATATTACTTGTATAATTAGCAGTGACATCATCACTGTGCAGTACATAGCCTGTGCAGAGAGCAGAGCTGTGGGTGACCCAGCAGGCCCCACCCACTACAGGCAGGCTGCCGAAGGGGGGCGGATACAAGACCAGTCAACCTGCACAATTAGAGATAACAGCAGTGACCGGTCTTTATTACAGAAAGCTCCTACCCAGAGGTAACGTTTTACACTGGATTACTGCACAGGAAGAAAACACACTAAGATTTAGCAAGAATTCACATGGCTCTCATAGTTAGACAATATTGGCTTGTGCTAGAGTTCAGCTTTCCCTAATTTATATTCAGACAGGAAAGTGAAGGCTAAAGAGAACCAGTCAAAATAAATGCCTAGGGAGCTGTGCACAGTGGCAAAGTCCAATCCTCCCTTGTGTTGCGTTTGCCGAAAAGGTGAGGGGCAGGAAAATGGGGCCGACTTTATTCTGGTCCCGGTGCTTTGACTTTGACTTTTGATCCAGTTTTCATAAATCAACCTGTATAGAAGTAGTGGGGAATGGTAACAGAGGTCTATGCAAGAGAATGGATTCTCACATCTGTACAGCACTCACAGTACCACAATATACTATAACTCTATATTACTCATTTCTTAGGAGGGTTAAGGAGAACTCCAGCGAGGACGAAAATAGAACATACTATCCCCCCATTTAATGTACAAGTCATGAGCTGCACAATAACCAATGTGGACTGAAAATCAATTCAGGTTTCGGATTTATAGCAGGGAATGGGGATATGGGAATAACAATCGCTGGATCAGACCACATTGTGTATAATGCATAGTCTGCTATCTATGTCTCAGAGAAGCAAGGCATTGTCTAGCCTTTTATCTCCTGCTGCTCAAACGTTGTTGAGTATCATTTCTTTAAAAGTGTGTGACAAACAACTAATTCAAGAAAACAGCTTTTTTATGCAGTTATGGAGTTTTTTTGTTCTCCTCTGAGTTCTCTTTTAACCTGCTCTTTAAAAGACCAAAAACCCTAAACCGCTGGAAGGCTTAAACCAAAGACCATTGTTAACAACAATCACAATTATATATGTAAATGTTTCGGAAATCAACCTGAATTACCTAAAGTTCTTATCAGAGAGAAGAGATCAGTGATATTTTGTACTTTCTCTGCCAGCCTGATTACCAGGAACATACCAGTAAGTTCAAAGCAAATAAATACAATGTTAAATAAATCAGGTTTTGTACTGGTACATTTCATATAGAATTATTATTGTTATTATTAGATATTCCAAATATAAAAACTCCTCCTCTTGAGGCAGGATTGATGGCCCTTTAAATCCATCACAGCCAGATGGAAGGCATTTCAGGAAATGAGTAGAAAGACCATTGATTAACAGCTATAAATAAAATGAAACCTCCAGATGATCAGATATGTAAAGCTGAATCTTTACATCTGATGTCACACCCAATCCACAGATTTTGTTTTCAGCCTGTAAGGCAAAAGAAATGTCTGTGAGGGAGGGGGGGGGGGGAAGGGGGAGGTCGTAGGGGAGCTGTGGTGGGAATGCCCCCTCTAGAAGATAGGAATGTAGTTGTCAATCTTGGCTCGGTGCCTCTGGGCGATGCACTCCGCAATCCATACGATATTTCGGCACTCCTGCTCCTTTAGCTTTACAAAGGCATAAAATACTCCAAAGTGGAACTGGTTGATAAAAGCCAGTTTGTTTAATTTCACCTGTGAACAGAGAGATGGCGGTCAGTATTTACAACTGAATAGCATTAATTTTTAAAAGATAAAACAGAATCCAAACTATTCCCGATCTATAAGCACGCTTTCCCCCTTCACCTGCTAAACGCAGCTGCGTAAAAAGTACAGATTCTGGAAGACAACCATTAGGCCCAGCACGCGGGACCGGTTTAGGTGCATAGACTTTGTAGCAGAAATGGAACAACTGATCTACATTATCCAAGACAATATGACTCAATACACACTCACATGGTCCAGGTTATATATATATATATATATATATATATATATATAAAATCAGCAAATATTCAGAAACTGAGGAGAGGATGCTTTCTGCTTCTCCACTAGCTAACGGTTTTGGGAAACCCAGAAACAACTTACTGCACCTGACTAGCTTCAGCTCAGTGCTTGACGTTGCCCCCACTCCCTCTTTCCCATCCTTAACCCCACACCTACCCTCTGGTCCCTCTTTATACAGTTCCCTTTTGCCTCTCCCCTAGCAGTACCTATCCCAAGGATATCACAATTCTTCTCCTTATTGTATTCCTCACCATTGTGCACCCACCAAGACGAGAGCCCTCTGTCCCCTTCCCAAAAAGCCCCTCCATAATGCCTGAAACCCATATTTAGCTCTCACCCTTGAGATGCTCCCCCCTCTCGTCCTTCAATTTGTGTGCCCGTTTCGGCCCAGTGTTCCCACTCACCAAGACCATGTGCCTGAGGTTTCATCTTTTTGTATCACTGAACCATGCTGAAAGGCTTTCACAGAACTTTGTTATGCAACTTGTTCAGACCCTATCTGTTGGGTTTACTAATGGATGACAACCTAGCATTGTAACTTTCCTTCCCTTCAGTTTTTCTGTTCCTTGCCTTTTTTGATAACAATTTTGATAAAAACAATTTGAAACAAAAAGAATCCAAACTACAACCTGCAAGATGACCTGCACACCAATGACGCACCGTTTTAATTTTTATCTGCAGCCTTGATATTGCCAATATCCATCTTTTAATTTGTAGAGCTATAGAAGCAAATTATGGCCATGAAAAGTGATTTACTTCTAGTGAACAAAGTCATCCTCATGATCAGTGTGGTGTTTCTGCTGACAAACACTTAGAAATGAAGGCAGACTAAAGGCTGCCCTCCTATACCAAGCCAACATACGAAGGATAAATGGTCCCGATACACTGAGTGATAACATGAAAACTGGGATAAGTTCCTTGGTACCAGTATATACACCAATTGTGACAGGTCCTCAAGGGTCTAGACAGAGTCCTCAATCTGCTTCGTCTCTGCTGCAAGGTACTTACTAACACTGAACATGAACATGCTTGGTACTCTGCTCTTCTATGTTCTTTTACAAATTGAAGGGAATCAGTAAACATGAGTAGTATGTTTATTTACCGACCTCCCCACTCGCCATCCTGAGAAAAGCCGGTGATGAGACCAGCATAAAGCAAGTATGGTGCAAGGGGACACATGGCTGAGGGCAGAGTGGCACTGAAGGAGGACATACAGGGGAGACAGCAGGTAACGGAAACAGCAGAAAGCACATGGACGGCACACTGCAGAGCAGTCACATTTTTATTGGAAGGCCGCGACTGGTGGCTTATCAGCCACTGATCATAGCTATTCATTAATCACAGATTCTAAGGGACCATGAGCTTAGAGCTCAAGACAATGCAGCCAATGTAAGAGTTACTTAACGGACATACTAGAAGCAGTTTTGTTCCTCCGTAAACCCTTACACCAGTGGCAGTGAAAAGGTAAATAAATACTATACAGGAAACTCTGAGCTGGACTTGGGCAATCATTCTTCTCGCATAATTAAAAGGGTGCTGCAACAACTTCTAACTAGTCACAGCTGGTGAATCTTGCTTGTTTCAAAGTGAAAAGCTCTTTATTCCTGTATACTCACATAGAAAAGCAATGCTTTGGGACAGCGCAGGGACCTTTACTCTGGCAGACAAGCCTGAGGAAGGATCCCAGCTCATCCCCAAACTTTGCTTGTCTATGTGATCATAGAAGAATAAAGAGCTTTTTACTTTGAAAAAAAAGTTTGTTTTTTGTGTCGGCGTCATACCTTATTCATGAGGGCCAGTTCACACCATATGCAGTTGTGATGCAGTCAGTTTATTTGACTGCTGCAGTAAAAATACATCACAATGCTTTCCTATGGGCTTTCTTGTGCTTTATTCACACCATTGCAGTGTGAATAAAGCACAAGAAAGCCCATAGGAAAGCATTGTGATGTATTTTGACTGTAGCAGTCAAACAAACAGACTGCATCACAACTGCATATGGTGTGAACTGGCCCTTAGATTCACCAGCTGCGAGCAGTTGGGAGTTGTTGCAACACCCTTTTAATCATGTGAGAGAAATATGCTCAGAGAAAAACCGAGAGGGAACTTTTCCCATCAAACTTAGGAGCATAAAATTAGAGCATAATGGCTTTATTTTAAATTACATAATCTTACATTCTTATTTTTTTTTGTTCTTTTAGCAAATTATTTCCACATGATAGTGAATAAGCAAAAAATGTATAGAACCATTATACCAGATCATAGGCTAGTCCCCCTCCCATCCCCTAGGTCAAGGTAAGTGTTAAACACACCCAGGTTCAGTGGCGTCTTGGGCACCAGAGAGCACAATGTGCACTCATTAACCCTCTATTCAAGTAAATACCAGCATGAATGCTTCGCATGCCAGATCTTTTTAATGGAAGGAAAGCTTTTATGACAATAAAAATTACCCTTCCTGGTCCAACCCTGTAGAAACAAAGGGTCAGCAATGTGAACACCATCTTAAATACGATTATCATTTATTTGAAACAATTTCCAGTGCAAAAATGAATGATGAACTCACAAGTGGCTATATCGTTCAGCAGCTGCATTTTATTTTTTTAAATGCCAGTTTTCATATGCAGAACAGTCAAGCATCATCAAACATGCAATGCACAGGACCCATTCATACCACATCCAAGTCATCTCCAGACCAGAATGTTTCCGGACCCAAAATGCATCCTAATCTATCCCTATGCTATGTCTGGCCTCTGTTCACACCAGTGCATTTCAGTTCCAGACAGACCAGAAAAATACTGCATGTCTCATTGTGTCTGGTCTGGAATCCACTGGAACTGAGGGCCGGTTCACACCATTTTCCGGACCAGATCTGGTCCAGGAAAAAGGTATGAACCTGCCCTCAACCCCCTTAATTGCCACACCAATTCCTTTACATGTTTCACGCATGCTAAAATACCAATTTTTGATAAGAACATGAACTTAAAGCAGAGTGTGTTTTAGCAGGTGAGTTAGTGTGAACGTGGCCTTACAGCGCATCAGTTTAGCGTTAACTGTACATATTGGCCCTAAAATTATTCCTCTACTCTACTTTATATCCCATTACTGCCATGCTGCAGATGTTACAGCAGTAAAAGGGTAATAGGACATTTTTTGGTAGACAGTAGGACAGTTTTGGTAGATAGAGTTAAACCACCTGACATTTTCTCCTGGGGAATAGTGGGATCTCTACACCTGACGTCCAGGGTTTGCACATCTGCTGTGTCCATTATCTGTTGGATTTTTATATTGTATTATATTTTGTAGAATGTGACAAAAGTTGCTACAACATCCAAGATTTCCATGGAAGTTCTGTTTAGTAAAGCAATCATTGGGATAAGTCATATTTATCCATATGTAAACAAAGCTAATTACGTAGTATTAAACCCTTGTTTTAAAACATACTTTTAGACACATATAATGTCTACAACAATTAGATTCATTCAAATTTCTCTATTTTGAAAGCTTTTTTTTTTTACTTTTATTGGATTTATGCAGCTTTCTCTTTTGGGTGCCACACTTCCCCTTAACTTCTGGTCAGGGAGCACGTACACCCTCTTTCCTGTGTGGCACCGGCAGGACTACATGTCCCATGTGTTGTAAGTTATGGGGCATTTATGGGGCATATGTGATTCACTAACATATGCCCTCATTCACACGAGAAACGGCCGGCCCGTACAAATCCGTGCAGGTCGGGTGAGCGTGCGGCCCCGTACTCCCATAGAGAAGGACAGGCTGCTGCGTGTAATCACACGCAGCACCTGTCCTTCCCGTGAGTGGCGCGATGCGGCCGTGCATGCAGCACAGATCTGTACGGGCCGGCCTTTCTTGTGTGAATGAGGACTAAAGCTTTTATCAATAGCTTGTGGGTGGGGAGGTTGGCAGATCACATGCCCTCCTTATCTCCAGCCTCTCTCTGCAGCCTGTGCGCTTGACGTAGGTGTGTGCTGTATGGGTATGGAGTGTGCACATTGCAGTGGCAAACACCACTGGTCATAGGAGCCTCTGCACCAGGCAGTTTCATTAGCTTATACAGGCAATCATTCTTGCACTTGAAGGAAGAGGCTGATATCAACAAGCGCTGGCGAACCAAATACAACATCAATGTGGCTATGTTGAATTTTTATCCATTGGGTTTATTAACACTTTAAAAGACAAATAAGGCCGAACTTACAGTTTTTGTGCATTTAAGGCGTAACTAAACAAAAAAAAGGAATACATTGCAGCTTACCAATCCTTAGGGGCTAGTTCACACCTGCCTCAATGTGCTCCGGGCCGATTCTGGCCGAAACGCCCTGGATCGCATTCCAGCCAGATCACTTTGTTTTAAGAGGGGAGGGCGGCGAGAGGGGACGCGGCGGTGCATTGCAGTTAATGACACCGCAGCCACACCCTCCGGCTGTAGTGCGATCGTCCGCACCAGAATGCGTGGCACATCAATGCTTGCATTCCGGTCTAGTGCGGTCAGAAAAAATAGTGCATGCAGCATTTTTTCTGACCACACTGGACCAGAACGCAGGCATTAATGTGCCACACGTTCTGGTGCGGCCCATCGCACTGCGGCCAGAGGGAGTGGCTGCAGTGCCATTGACTTCAATGCACCTCCATGACCCCTCCCGCCCCAAAACAAAGTGAGCCGGTCGGAATGCGATTCAGTGAGCTCCGGCCAGAATTGGGCCGGAACACACTGAGGCTGTTGTGAACTAGCTCTTAATATGATGGATGCAATATTTTTCGTTATTTTTAGGCTTTTGTTTGCTTTTTTCCCCCCTGGTGATCCAGTTATTAACACACTTCCTGTCTTATTGTGGCTCCACTCTATGGAAGAGCCACCCATGGACAACAGCACTGTTTCCCTGTGGAGAGGGTAGTGTGAGATGCACTAGAAGATTTAAATTAAGGCTGAACTTCGGCTAACAATATTGATGCAGTTACAGTAACATTTTTTTTTCTTTCTATTGGGATAAAGGATTTACATAGCTGAATAAACGTTGACCATTGTAAGCACCCCTGGTCGAGGGATGGTTTGTCTTAACCTTCTATTTGCCACTTTTGCTGGACAGCTTGGTCTGAAAATGAATGCAGCCACCACAGTTAGGGATTGGTAAGCTGCAATGTATTACATTTTTGTTTTAGGATTTAGATTCACTTTAAGAATCCATCATCAACTCTTTAGGAGCGTTCCTTAAACCTCGTTCTTGTTGTTTTTAATACATGAACACAAACAATGCCTCTATATCTTGTTTTTGATCATGTAAAAAACTGTACAGCTTAATTACACTGAATTTTGGCACAGACTCCAGGACCATAATCAACCTGTTAATGTTTTATACATAAAGACTGGTCTGAGGCAGCACTTTAATTAATGGAAGGACACAATATCTAATTACTAGCAAAAACCAGTTTAAATCCATTAAAATCTTGGCAAGGCAACTTCCCCCTTGGCATAATAGATTGCTGTGTTATTGTGTGTAAGGGTTTTGGCAATGAATGAAGTTCATGAGGAGGATAAACGTTTCTGCTCTGTACAATAAATATGCCATTTATAGATTAACGTAAAGAAATCCAACGCTGTGACTGTCTAGTTTGGACACACTTATTTCAAAGAAGAATGGCTTCCATTACAAAAAGACATGTTAAAGCTCAAACAAGCAAAGCTCAAAGGTTACACAACTTCAGGCTCCCTTATTTGGTAAAGCAGGAAGCAATACGCAGTGAACCATAGCAACCAGTCAGAGAAACGCTATACACTGATTGATTGAACCTTTAAGGCCTTGTTCACACCAAGCGCGTTCCAGGAGCAGAGCAGTTACAGACCGGAGCAAAACTGCGTCCAATGTATTCCAATGGTATTTTTAGCTCCAGTTCACATCGCAGCGTTACGTTCCAGAGCAGGTAAACAAACTGCAGCAGGCCCTATTTTACCTGCTCTGGAACGCATGCAAACGCCCTGGAACGCACTGAAAGCCCATTTTAAACTAAACATTATTATTATTTTTTCTTACCAAAAACGCGGCAAAAACTGCTTGTGCAGAAGCTCATGCAGATCTGCTCTGCATTTGGTGTGAACAAGGCCTACGGGAACTGACTTTTTTTTGCTAACCATAGGGATTGAAAATACTCATGTTTCTGCACTTGCTAATTGAGGTCCCTGTAACCTAGAATGAGGTGATCTGCTTAGGGTCTATATAGATGTGGGAGTCTAAGGGGTTAGATGAACTAATGTGAGAGTCATCGAGGGTACCGCATCTAGATTTTTTAATATTAATGATGGTAGTAATTTTTTTCGCTGTGTTATAACTATTTCCAATACTAGTTATATTTCTTTAAATAACTGTGTTCTCTAAAAAAGCTTCCTTTAGATGAAAGTCCTACAATGCTTCACCTAAGCTGAACTCGGGCAAGCCTTTTTCTTAACCCTTGCAGTGGGGCTAGACCTGTACTGCAAGAGTTAGGTGCTCGTTTGTGTCTATGTGCAAAAATAAAGTTATACTCACCCGATCCTCAGAGCCGGATTGTTGTTAGACTGATCCCTGGAGCCTCTCTCCCCCAAATTTGTCTAAGGTACTGTAATTCATCATGTTCTATACATTGTGTCCGCGAGGACGCAGAGGGACAGACCATCACTGCAGTAAAGGTGGGAGTGGTATAACAGCCAGCCTGCTGCAAGGATCAGGTGAGTATAACTGTTATTTTTGCACCTAGACACAAATGAGCACTTAACCATTGCAAAGTGGGGATAACCCCTCTGCAAGGGTTAAGAAAATGTTTGCCCGGAGTTCTTGGAAACCAAATCCATCTGTCCCTCGTTTGGAACCCAATCCCTCTGTCCCTCGTTTAGAACCCAATCTCTCTGTCCCTCGTTTGGAACCCAATCCCTCTGTCCCTCGTTTGGAACCCAATCCCTCTGTCCCTCGTTTGGAACCAAATCCCTCTGTCCCTCGTTTGGAACCCAATCCCTCTGTCCCTCGTTTGGAACCCAATCCCTCTCTCCCTCGTTTGGAACCCAATCCCTCTCTCCCTCGTTTGGAACCCAATCCCTCTCTCCCTCGTTTGGAACCCAATCCCTCTCTCCCTCGTTTGGAACCCAATCCCTCTCTCCCTCGTTTGGAACCCAATCCCTCTCTCCCTCGTTTGGAACCCAATCCCTCTCTCCCTCGTTTGGAACCCAATCCCTCTGTGCATCGTTTGGAACCCAATCCTTCTGTGCATCATTTGGAACCCAATCCCTCTGTTCCTCATTTGGAACCCAATCCCTCTGTTCCTCATTTGAAACCAATCACTCTGTTATTCTTTTGGAACCCAATCCCTCTGTCCCTCATTTGGAACCCAATCCCTCTGTCCCTCATTTGGAACCCAATCCCTCTGTCCCTCATTTGGAACCTAGTCCCTCTGTCCCTCATTTGGAACCAAATCCCCCTGTCCATCTTTACTTCTCACTTGCCCCTCTTTTTGGTCTGATGTACAGATCTTCAACAATAATAATTTCTGATGGAATAACAGTTCTTTAAGATTGATTTTTTATTTTATCAGCATATGCTTTTTGCTGTTAGTTCCAATTTAGAATAAAGCAAAACTGCCTACTGAAGGCTCAACCAACATGGACTGAATGAAAGGTGTGCATTCTGGGTGAAAAATGGATCTGATTGTCCTTCACAAAAGAAGAAAGGTCCATCCATGGGTATCTTTGAGCACAACAAACTAGCTTTGAGAAAACACATAACCTCATATAAAACCAACAAGCATTATGCATGGGAATAACAGAATGTACAGCTGGCAACAAAACAATGACCAAAACTAAAACAGCGTTTACATAGTAATCAGCGATGCTAAAGAACATTTCCTTGATAAATATAACAGAAACCTCCCAGGCCTGTCTAGAGTCATTTCATTGATTAAACCCTGCTGTATAGAAGTGTCAGACCTGTTCCTATGCCTACAGCAGAGTGGAGATGAAATCATGAAGGAGAGGTAATAAGCACATATAACCCCAAGTCCCGCAAAGTCTGCCAGCGGTTCCTGACCTCTGTACATTGCAGGTGTTAAAGACAAACTGCTTACAAATGATCAGAACGGTCACATAATACTTGCAGAGGAAGAAAACGCAATAGTCAGCAAAGCTGCAGATGGATCATTTTAAACCATGACAAAATGAAGTAATGACCAAAAAAAGTTTTCTTAGTACAAAACCATATGTAAAAAAAACAGAATAAAAAACTCGATCTGAGGGCCAAACACAGAAAGAGCTAAAAATTTTCATCTGGATCTCATCAGTTTCTTTGCGAAATTAATGAAGAACGAGAAAGAGGTTTTAGCATGGCTCTGCCAAAACATAATGGGCCTACCTCAATAGACACAACACTGCGTGTGCAAAGCTGTGTGCTCCAAGGGGCAAGCTAGAGACATGGCTTTCAGCATATACTTACCTCATGTTCAAAGAACCTGTCTTCCAGGGTTTTATCGCCAGGATTGTTTCCTGCACCTTCAAACAGCAGTTTATATTCCTAATAGAAAAAAAAAAATAAACAAAAATGATCAGGTTATGTGAATTCTAGCAAGCTAATTGCTCTTAAACACACAGAAATAGCAATGAGAGGAAGAGAGACCATAACAGCGGCCTATACAGTTTCAGGCCATTTCTGGGCAAACAAATAAAGCACCCTTTCAGTGGGGATACACCCAAACTGCAAGGGTTAAGTGCTTGCGTTTGTCGGGGGGCTAGAATAAAGCAGATTTACTTACCTGGTCTCCACTTCCCTGCCAGTCATTGTTCTCCTCTTCTCTCCCTCCACTCGACCTGGTAAATGTTCCCTGGCATCCTCACATCTAATGCAGAGCTATAGAACCTCCATTAGATGTGATGGTGTCAGTGGTCCTTAGACTGTTGGAGCCCGGGGAGAAGAGGTTGCATGGACTGGTTGCCAAACGTAACCAATGCAGTCAATGGCAGCAATGCAAAACACCCTTGGGATAAAAAAAACAACAGGCATTTAGGAGGTGTCAGTATAGCCACCTGAACGTCTGTAAACTGACTGTCAACTGTCCTCTGAAAAGCGATCTACTATGGATTGTCTGCAACCATTACAGTTCTGCTCATAGGACAGAAGCATCTGTGCCTATGGCAACCTCTAAGGCCTCATACACATGGGCATCAAAATACATGCATCCCGATGCGTTTGGAGCTAATTTCTAAAGGCATCTGGATGTAATGCTTTTCTATGGAATTTACACTGGGCAATCAGCAGTGACTTGGTGCATTCCACCTAGATGTATTTAAATGCATGTAAAGGAGTGCAAACACATGTAAATGCAAGTACACCTGCTGTACATGCAGGAGAAATGGACCTGTGAAGTATACATTTTTTATACATCCCATATCAGATTAATTTCTACTCTGTTACCTTCATTCACACGTAAGCGTTTTCATGTGATTTTGAATCCTTTTTTGCCCATTTTTGACATTTTCAGGCTTCAGTGCATTTGTTTTAGCTAATGGAAAGCTAGTTACTAGGATGAGAAGACAGCTGTTAGGTGCAAAAAAAAAAAACCATGCATGTTTCTCAGGCGCTATCATAAAAAAAAAAATCTCATGTACTTTTTCGAGCTACAATAGAGAACGTTCAAGTATGAATGGACACCACTGAAGAAAATGGGATTCTTCTGCTGAGTACTATCACATTTCAGGACACACAAGACAAAATGCCCAGGTGTGAACGGGGACTTAAACATGGGAGGCCTGTGTGCATGAGGTCTTAGGTTACTTCCACACTAGCACTTCTGAGATTCAAGTTTAAACAGACTCCCGGCGGCAAAAGTCACCGGGAGTCTGTTTAAACAGCCCCGATGCTGGCGACGTACACTGTACGTCGTTAGTCACGGAGGGGTTAAATGCAAAATACATTTTCACTTTCCGCTGCACTTACATGCCTTTAGATGCGTTCAGAGTATCTAGTCTGTCCCTGGACACACAGAATTCAACTCTGCACTGTACGTCGTCAGTCACGAAGGGGTTAAATGCAAAATACATTTTCACTTTCCGCTGCACTTACATGCCTTTAGATGCGTTCAGAGTATCTAGTCTGTCCCTGGACACACAGAATTCAACTCTCTATAAATGCAGATAAAGTGACTGCAACTAAAACACAGGTAAATAAATGGTGTGAATTATACTAATAAAATCATTATATGCACTCAACTGTATTTGGAAATGTCCTATAAATGCACATACATCACTGCCAGTGTGAATGAGGCCTAAAACCCCTCAAGGATACCTGAGGGTGAAAAAAGGTTCTGAACTTTTTGCCAAACCGTTTTCCCAAAAACAACATGTAGGCACCAAGTAGTTGAAGTAGTACACATATCCTTCAGGACCCTGTAGGGTAGCGTTATGAATCCCCCTGTCCCCGTGCACAGAAGAATGCTTACTGAGTTTCCACAAGACCAGGCCGGTCTTGGTTGTTTGTTGACATCTTGCGGTGGATGTCTCCTTCTGCTGGCAACGTCTGCGCAGTTCATCCCCATTGACTTCTATAGGGCACGTCTACCTCCGTCTCTGGGCAGGGAAACGAGCCCCATAAAAGTGAATGGGGATGTACTGTGGCAAGAAGACAACGTCCGTTGCAGCATGTCAACAAACAGAGTTCAAGGTGATGTCCCCTTAAAAAGACCAGGGGCGCCCCCAGCCGTGGTGTCCCCCAGAGCGGCATGCATGTATTACGTTATCATGCATGTGTGTAATGACGTCACCTGCTCTTACCTGCCAGCGGCCATCTTGGCAATGGACGCTGGCAAAGAGAGGAGGGCCGTTCAGCCGGGGGATAAGGTATGGCGCCAGGTTCGCTTCTCTCTCGTGTAACTATTGAGCTCTTGGATCATGACCGAGTGCTTGACATTTCAGAGGTGGTGACACTAAAATCACTGTCAGTAATTTTGGTGTCACCCCCTCTAATGGTGTCACCCGGTGCAAGCCACATCCCTCCCCATCCCCCTTGTGACGCCACTGAAAAGGAGCTAAAGGATAAGTACACTTTGCTTTAAAGTGTACTAATCCTTTAATTCCTGGAGTTTAAGTAGCCTACATTATTCAGACAGATAAATGCAAATTTCTGATCGCCTGATACAAGTTAATGCAAATCACTGCTCAGTAAAAAAAAATAGAAACCTCAGCTGTTACAAATCATCCGAATGGAAAGAGGAGTAGAAATGACCAGAGAGTAATATTTACTTACTGGGTAATAGTCAGCTACTGCTTTGACCTGCTCATAGTCATCAGCTCTCCCCAACTGGGCCAGGCCTTCAGGGTACAATTTCCCGCAGTGTGGGAACAGCTTGGCACGGTCTTCTCTGGAAAGTTCGGTGCCAAATGAATTAATTGTGATTATAAACGCTCGGCGGTCGGCTTCAAACTAGAAACAATACAAAATATTGCAGTTTGAGAAAGGCAAGGCATGTGTCTGCAACAACTCATTTCATATTTACAGATCTGAAATATGTGACATTTACACTCTAATAAGAGAAGCAATAATTATGAATGGTAAAAGCACGATTAACCCAGGTTATCAACAGATTATTTGTGAGTAAAAACATGTGGTATCTTTTAGAGGTGTACCGAAAAGAACATTTTAAAACCGAAACAAAACCTAAATGAAAAAAATAGTCGGGCCGAAATCGAAAATGTTTTTTTTTCTAACTTTCAAGTTTTTACAAATATTTTATTTCTCTTCATTTATTTAATAAACTAAAATATTTAATAAAGAATAAATAAAATGAAAAAATATTTTTATTTATTCTTTATTAAATATTTTAGTTTTTTATTTTACTTTTAGGTGCTTCAGGGAATTATCAGACCCCTGATATTTCCCTTTTAAAATAGAAAAAAAAAGATTGGCGGACACAGAGTCCTCAATCTCTTTTTCTGCAGCCCGTTATAAATGAACAGGAATCCTCTATACTGAGTGTTCTTGTTCATTTATAACATGTGGATATAGTATGTTTACTATATTCTCAAACATGAATGAACAGGAGGTGATGTAGAGCACTTCCCATTCATTCATAATTGAGGATATAGTAACCATACTCTGTCCTCAATTATTTACAAACCCTCAGCGATCACTGAGTGTTTGCACTCGCTCTCCTTCCTGACACGCTGTCCCAGGAGGCTGAGCGAGCGGTGCAGGGAGGAGAGCTCGATCTGACAGCTGACTCCTCCCCGGTACCGCCGGCCGGGCTCCTGTGACAGCTGTCTTTGCCCACACAGCTGCTCTCCTCTGATTTGTGACAGGTGGCTGAGCAGAGTGAGGAGAGACGCCGGCTGCTCACAGCGCTCGGCTGCCTGTGACAGAGTCTCTCCTCCCCGCTGGGACACAGAGCAGCCCCAGCAGGGAGGAGAGAAAGCAGAAATGCACCGCTATATCAGCAGAAAAATGGCACTTTTGGCATTTTGCCAAAGTGCCATTTTTGGCGATATGTTTCTCCAGGCCGATATATCGGTGCATGCCTAGTATGCGTGCTTATATTAAAGCAGACTGTGCTGTAAAATGAATGATCTGCGTATTAGGTCCAGGCACCCTCCTCCTGGAAAAATCACTGCCTATTTGTACTTCAGAAATGTACCTGTAGAGAAAAATAATTAAGAATATATTCTTAAGCTGGTCATACACCAGTAGTTTTGTTTTCAAAAAACAGTTTTCGGGAACATTCCTTTAATATTCTAATAGTTAATGGGGTCAAACTGACTATAGTGCCAAAAAAAATAGAAGAGAAGCGGGATGGTTTTCTTTTTAAAACTTAATTCAGTCCTAAATTGAATATTAAAATCATCTCTCTCTCATTCTCTCGATCAATAGATAGATAGATAGATAGATAGATAGATAGATAGATAGATAGATAGATATATTTACATACCGTGTTTCCCCGAAAATAAGACCAAGCACTATTTTTAAACATTCCTGTAATATAAGACCTACACCCGAAAATAAGACCTAGTTTGGGGGTGAGGGTGGGGGCAGCCCAGAGAGCAACCAGAGTCATAGCTGCGCCGCAGCTCCCGCATGCCGTCCGTGTCACGAAATAAGCAGACACCCGTCTGCCTTTGCTTAGAGAGCTGCTGCCGGGCAGAAAACTACATTTCCCAGCAGGCAGCAGCACAGCACAGTAAGGAAGTATAGCTAGTGGGCTGAGCCTCAGTGACTGTGGGAACTTCTGACTGGAGGTCCGTGCAGTCCAGCCTGGCGACGGGAGAGGTGGCTCCCTCGCGGAGATCGCACAGAGAACTGTGGACGGCATCAGAAAGGAGAGCTCCAGGACAGCTGCAGCCTGCAGGTATTGTGACACTGTGTGACAGTATTTCAAATAAGACATCCCCCAAAAATAAGACCTAGTGTGTTTTTTTGGGGAAAAAAAAATAAGACAGTGTCAACATGTAAAACATTATTTTATTTTCGGGGGAAGTGTGTGTGTGTGTGAAAGTTTAGGCACTGCTGCCTCTGACTGGAGTGAGATTTGGCAACCTTTCTACGGTCTTGCTCACTGTTCTTTTTGCTAGAGCCTCTGACATAAGAATAAAAAAATCTTCACACGGAGACACAAAACAGAACAAGGCAATTTAAGTCCATAACTGGAGAAAGGTTTTTGGGCACAGCTTCCAGATTTCAGTTCACCAAACTTTACTAATATAATGTGTACATGTACCTCTAGGATGGGACACATGGCATCTGCAGTAGTTCCTCCTAGCCCTTCGCAGAACTTGTAGAAGGATTCTAAATAGGCCTAAAAGTCAAAGATAAGAGTTGACATTAGAGACTTTTTTTGGGACTGAAATAAATAACATAACATGCACAGGGTAATAACCATGTGAATGTGTATGAAGCACGGCAACCACATACAACTAAATAAAGGCATTTTCACACCGGTGAAGTGCTTTAAAAGCTTGGACATAAAATCTGGTTATACACATGTGGATCTCATCATTTTGAAGTGAATTGAACCCCACGCACGCTTCTTTATTTTTTTGCCCTGAATGTCTGATTTGTGTTTGTGTAAGGCATAACATTTATTTCATAACTACAATTGATAGAACATTACTAAAAGTATCTGCTTCTATTTGTACTTCTTACAGGGACTTTTATATGTAAAGGTTATGACATACAAGCTATCGGTATGTGCGTTGAAAAAGCAAACATATGGGTTTGTTTCTGGGATTTCAAGGCATTAAAGTGACATTAAATAATTTTTTCCCCCTCCCCCGAATGTTAGTGTAAGCACTTACCTTAAATTATGTCTCTTAATCCGAACTTCTTCTTTCCTGTCGTTTTCAGATGTCCCTCCAGCCTCCAGATGTCCTGCCTGCATGGGGGTGCACACGTCCATAGACTTACCTTGTGTCTCTCCTCGTCTCCCAGCCGAAAATCTGAACTGCGCATGCACCCGCCCCAAGATTTTTCAGATTTTTGAACGGGAGCGCGTGGCAAAGAAACCGGTAAGTTTTAACCTCTTGTAAAACTCTCTTTTTTTTTTACAGGTTTTTGCATATATCCACTGCTTGCTAGCAGTAAATATAGGCAAACAAAGCTGAGGGTTTAATAACCCTTTAAGCTTGTATTCCTATCATGCTCAGAAATCAATGGTTTTTATTTGCTTAGGATAAGAATTGCAAGTGAACACTGTTTCCTTTTCTATGTAAACAAGGTAAAGAGCGGGAACTAATAGGCTGGTAATGCCCTAGCTAGAAGATGGTGGGTTCCAGTAGAGCAGTGGTTGGTTTGGGGACAAGCTGATGTTTTAACACCTCCGAGGGGTTGTGCTTGCCTATACCGCAACTAAGGCTAAGTGTATACTGCACAATAAACATCTAAATGTTGCCAAATGGAGTATAACTTTTGGCAAAAAAGACACTGCGCACTGTAGGTAAATAATATGTTCAACTGTTGGAAGTGATACAATATAAATAAATATGTACAAATATATTCCAGCACAGTGAAAAAAGGTTGGATTGTTTTGAAACCCAACTGAACTTTGTTTAAATCAGATAAATGCATTCCAAAAGGTGTGCACAATCCTACAGTTAATTGCTTTTTTAGAAAGCAGCCACAGCCTGAGTAGAAAAGTCTGCCCCCTGCCAGCATGCTGTAGAGAAGGACCCTTGCTTTCTGTGGGATAACAATGTTCTCCCTGCAAAAGTCTGAGCTGCAACTCTTTAGTCAGAAGGAAGCATGAACTTTGCTGATTGCAGAGTTATTTGGTCAATGCAGAGAGCAAGGGTCCTTCTTTGTAGCATGCTGGCAAGGGACAGGCTTTCTACTCAGCTTGTGGCTGCTTTCTAAAGAAAAACAAACCTTTTCTTTTGTTGCACCTAGAATGTGTTTAGGGAATTTCAACTAAAAAGTTCAAATGGGTTTTAAGTAGGGATGTTCAGATACCAGTGCAGATACTTGGCATTTTCACAAGAACTACTAGGGTTGCAGCGGTTGCAGCTGTGATTGGGCCCTGGTGCTCAATCACTGTCCGTGGAGCCCCATATCCAATGCTCCTTAAAAATGACAGCTACCTCCTAACTTTTGAGTTTTTTCTCTAGTCTAGTCTTACAATGGAGCTGGAAAAGTATCAGTACTTGGTACCTGAACATCCCTAGTTTTAAGTGAAGAAAAGGAAATAAAGTTTCATTCTAGTTCCCGGACTAAGTACAGCCAAGTCTCCATTGACTGAAAAAAGAATGAGAAGATACATTGTTGCATGTAAAAGGAAAGTGGTGACCTATGTGACTAAATAATCAGAGAACACAGAAATCAGAGAACTGAAAGTGCTGCCATAGGGATAGGCTGGGAAGCCTCTCACTTAGCGCAGTGGAAGGCACACAGCGACCCACTGAACACTGGGTTGCAACCCACTTTTGGGTCGCAGCCCACCAATTGAGAACCACAGTTCTAGATTGTATAATAGGTTTGAAAACAGGGTTAGTTATAGAAGCAAACTATCCCTGTTTCACAGTGGGGTACTGTGATTGGTTATCTTGGTGATCACATGAGAGTTGGGAATCACAACGTGGTTCCAGATCTCCTGTGCCAATAGGGGCCTGCACATGAAGCTAGCTGCTCCTATTGCAGTACTCAAAAAACAGCCATCAATTATCGTAGCATTCTCCTGGCACAGAGAACTAACTGGGAAAGTGGGAAGGGGTTGTTCAATTTCAATAGAGCATATGGGAAAGGAAGCAGACAAAAAAAAACAAACACATTTTCATTCACTTAACACAGTGTTAGTACCCATCTGTGGCGTTCTTCCTTGGTTCTTACACATTCCTTTACCCTTGAGTGTGTGTGGTAAGCTCACTTTTGTTAGGATACAACTTTTTCTCTACTAAGCTTTTGAAACATACTGAGCCATGCCAGGGTAGCACACAAGCCTTCATTGTCTCCCAATATAATACTTTGTCAGCTGAAAGTAGGCAACTGAATGTCTGCCCCTCTTCTCTCACTATAGCAGCCTATATGAAATTTCATTGGGCATGTAGGAATTGTGGAAACCGAATATAAAAGGTGGATTTGTAGGTTAATTTTTAAGACAACCATTTTCTGTTTAGCACTTTTATGTCAATAAGCTAGGAAAGTTTTCCATTTGCTTCTCAGTTCTTCTATCATCACTCTATTCTTGAAATATTGAGACAACCGTTATGAAGAAACTACTGCCCAATCTGTACATAAATATTTGCTCTTTATTTGACGATTGATGTGGTTTGGTTCTTCAACAGTCATGATACTTAGGATAATCAAGCAGGATTATGCTTTAATCCATGTTCTTTCATTATAATGAGGTGGCTCTAAGTCTTTCTATAACCGAGAACAACTTTTCACTTACCTTGTACAGAGTGTTCCTTATAATTTCAATATTCATTTCATCAAGATCTTGTTCTGAAATGCAGTCCTGGAAGAATGCAGCTGAAAAAACATAAACCAAGTAACGATTTAGAAAAAACAGGATATATAAAATGACAAAAAGCAAAAAGTAAGGTCCAGTTACTGACTGCTACCAGAAATCAACTGAAATTCTAAAGCTGGCCGTATACTTTTCACATTTTTGCTGTGGGTGGCCTTCATTTTTTTCTCGCTTAACTCACGGGTCATTATACAGAATTTAAGAATTCATGTTGTCATATTTCCAAGATGAAAGTGGTAGAAGCAGCTCAAATGCATTGTGAAAACTTGTATATCCTTTACTCATGCAAAGTGTTACAATGCACAGCCACTGACCGAAATACAAGGAAAAAAATATCATAAACCAAGGTGCTTAAGGCCCTTTCAAAATGTTTTCTAAAGGCATATGAAATATGGGTTACCACCACCCACATACACAAGCCCTTCTATGTTTTACCACTATGTTGGCCTTATGTGATAAACTTCCTGTTTAAGGCTAACAACGTTAAGCCACAATCTCACAATTGGCAGCAGTGTTGCCAGTCTGCCATGTGTACTCCTTCAGTTGGCCGTTGGGCTGCCTATCAGGTCTAAAAGGCAGCCCAACAGCATATTGAAGGAGCTTACATGGAAGTCTGATAACTTTGCTGCTAATTGCAAGGCAATAGCTTATCATTCATTAGCCTGGAACTGGAAACGCTTTAACTGGCAAAAGCTCTAGGTAATAACATTTTCAACAGATCCACACAAAAACAACCTGCTTAAGAAAACTGTATACAGTGAGGCATGATGGCCAACATAGTGAAAAATAGAATAGTGTCTACATACATGTAAAGTATATATTAGTTGATGCTTGCTTGATAGAAGAATTCCCATAGTATTTACTTTTTCCATGGAATCATTTTTTTCTGTAAACTGAACGATGGCCAAAAACAATGTTTGGCCAGGTGCATTGTACAAATAAATGGACACTAATGATGTAATGCGCGGTCGCTGCTGCGTTATGTAATACTCTTACTTTCATTTCCCCAATACAGTAGAGTCAGCACTGGGGGTCTGGTGCTACCGTTCTGTCTAGAGTACACAGATCACAGCAGGTTGTTTGATCTACAACCTGTTCCTTCATTCCGAACACATCTTGCATTCCTTTGAATGAATGCAAGGCTTTAACGATCTACGCCTTGTCCAATCACAAAACTCCTTGCATGCACTGAAAGGAATGCTAAAAGTTTTTGGAATGGATGAGCTGCAGAGGGAGCTATCTATTGTGATCCGTGTACTCCAGTCAGAACTTTATGTTTCAGTGGCGGATGTTCAGTGCTGCTTGTACTGTACGGAGGAATTGCACACTGCACACACTTCACTTGTATTCACTTATTACAGTGCAAATAACCAAATATTGCTTTTGACTGGTGTTAAGCTTTGAGAAATGGATTGGTTACCCTTTAACTCAATCATAGTATAGTTCTAGTATAAAGCCTGACTCATCTTTACCTAGTGGGGTATCAACAAGAATGGCGTTGTACAATTCTGCAGGTGTTTGGGCGATGTTTACAGCTTCCATCTGTTCAAAGCTTCCCAAAGGATGGCATTTAGGCACAAGTTCGGAAATGGAGCGCTGGTGCAGGGTGCCGGTAATCAACAGGATTACATTGTCAATCATGTAGCTATACCTGTATGTAAATAAAAAACACATTTATGAGTGTTTAGCTTTAAAGCAGAACATATCTGAAATGTCTGATGGACAATGAGATGAATTCTCATATTTCACTGTGGCAAATTTTTCTCTCATCTATCCACAATCGCTTTATGCATCAAGGAGTTTAAAGGCTGGCCATACACATACATCAGCTAATCAGCATGAATAGGGGGAACCCCCTTGGCGGGCTATGGTATTCAGACAGTGATGAGCGAGCTGATTGGCTGCAATTCTTAGTTGGCTGAGAATTTTCAAACTGGCTCCTTGAAGTAAATTGAAACATTGACCTTTGTTAAATGGAGGGGCATCAACAGGGCCAAACACTGCTCAAATTATGACCGAGTCAGCAGGAAATTTGAGCAGTGTATGCCCAGCTTAAGTAAAGAACCATCCGTACTGCCTACAGGCATTAGTGAGCTTTCTTGTCACCTGTTTCTAGTACATGAAAATTAAATGAACACTTGAATGAATGAAAAAATGAAATGGAACACTACTACATCTTCACTTCACGCTTTTATACACAAGACACACTGTGATGTTCTTAATGTTAAAGTGACTCTGTCATCTGTAAACTAACATGGCTAGCATAGGTGGTATTATTTTTTAATTATACAAAATAGTTTTAATGAGCCAGGGGAATCCTTGCTCCTGGGCACATACTCCTCTAGGCCAGGGGTGGACAAACCAATATGGAATTCATGATTTCTTTTTTTTTTTTTAGATGCCAGCTCCATTGACAGTAACAAGAGAAAAAGGTCAAAAGGTAGGTAGGCACCAGCTGTAATTTTTAAGAAGTATTGGCTACATGGCTCCTGGGATTTGTTCAGCCATTCTCTAGGCCTCTACTTAGAGCTAAGCCCCACTATCTATCTGGAGGATTTAATATATACACTATATTGCCAAAAGCATTGGGACACCTGCCTTTACACGCACATAAACTTTGATGGCATCGCAGTCTTAGTCCGTAGGGTTCATTGAGTTGGCCCACACTTTATATAAACAGCTTCAACTCTTCTAGGAAGGCTGTCCACAAGGTTTAGGAGTGTGTCTATTGGAATGGATGACCATTCTTCCAGAAGCGCATTTGTGAGGTCAGGTACTGATGTTGGACAAGAAGGCCTGGCACGCAGTCTCCGCTCTAATTCATAAAAGGTGTTCTATCTGGTAGGTCAGGAATCTGTGCAGAACAGTCCAGTTCCTACACCCCAATATCGCTCATCCATGTCTTTATGGACCTTGCTTTGTGCACTGGTGCACAGTCATGTTGGAAGAGGAAGGGGCCATCCCCAAACTGTTCAAACAAAGTTAGGAGCATGAAATTGTCCAAAATGTCTGGGTATGCTGATGTCTTAAGAGTTCCCTTCACTGGAACTAAGGGGCCAAGCCCAACCCCTGAAGAACATTCCCACACCATAATCCCCCCCTCCACTAAACTTTACACTTGGCACAATGCAGTCAGGCAAGTACCGTTCTCCTGGCAACTGCCAAACCCCGAAACGTCCATCGTATTGCCAGATAGAGAAGCGTGATTCGTCACTCCAGAGAACACATCTCCACTTTTCTAGAGTCCAGTGGCGGCGTGTTTTACACCACTGCATCCGACGCTTTGCATTGCACTTGGTGATATAAAGGCTTGGATGCAGATGCTCGGTCATGGAAACCCATTCCATGAAGCTCTCTACGTACTGTTGTTGTGCCAATCTGAAGGCCACATGAAGTTTGGAGATCTGTAGCTATTGACTCTGCAGACAGTTGGCGACTTCTGCGCACTGTGTGCTTCAGCATGCGCTGACCCTGCTCTGTCATTTTACGTGGCCTACCACTTTGTGGCTGAGTTGCTGTTGTTCCCAGTTGCTTCCACTTTGTTATAATACAACTTACAGTTGGCCGTGGAATATTTAGTAGCAAGGAAATTTCACAAATTGACTTATTGCTCAGGTGGGAACCTATCGCAGTACCACGCTTGAATTCACTGAGCGCCTGAGAGCGACCCATTCTTTCACAAATGTTTGTAGAAGCAGTCTGCATGCATAGGTGCTTGATTTTATACACCGGTGGCCATGGAGGTGTTTGGAACACTTGAACCCAATGATTTGGAGGGGTGTCCCAATACTTTTGGCAATATAGTGTATTTAAAAAGGTACCATTTTGTGCCTGCTCTTCAGATATATTAATAGTTTCTCTATAATTAATATATATGAGAGATTCACTTTAACTAGTTCATTCAAAAGGAAAAATAAACAAAAACAAAACATCAACAACATCATAATAGTGAAATGAAAGAACAAAAAAAATAAAATTGCTGAGCTTTACACGTTAACAATATATCCACACACTACTCAATAATGTGCGAAATCAAGATCAATAGTGCTTCCAAAAACACTTCAACACGTCCCACTAATAACTATATTCATAAGTGAAAGTGTCTTAATACAATTTACCAATTACATCAACATATAAAAACAATGTGTGTCAGAAAGTCCGGTATAGGTGCATTCCAATCTTCCACCTCATGTGAGTAAAAACGTGCCCCCACCGCACACGAGGGTGCTCACCTTCTATCTAGACCTACTTAATAATAGGTCTTCCTGCGCTTTCCCCTCTTAGTCGGGAGGGAATCCCACCAACGACCTTCTTCCCAAGTATTCCTCAGCGGTCCTCAGTGGCCAACGTTTCCCACCAGATAATGCCCGAAAATACAAACACATACCATAGCGCTTACCATCCAGTGTGAAATGTTTTTATAAAAACCTTACTTCCAAAAGTATGAGTATTCCAGTCATATACAATGGTATCACAGAATAGGAACTCCAAATCACAGGCTCGGCTCACTAGCAATAATGTCAGATGCTCCGCCCATCGAAAAAGAAAAACAAAACAATCAAAAAGCAAAAGCTGGCATCTAAGTATGTAGCCATCAGTGGATTAAAATAAAATATATTTTATTAACCAATATGGTACCAACATTTTCTTCAACACTACAAAAAAAACAACACCCAAACACTTGTAGTGTTATAGTGCAAGTCCTTCTTTTTTTTTTTTTTTTACTGCATACCACTACAGTGCATTGTTGAGAACAGAACATACAGGGGGAGTCAGTGGCCATTGTGACCTTCTAGGCTTCTGGTGTGGCCCTGTGCCTTTACGGAGGAATGGGCTGCCTCCACGTCTACCTGCCCCCCAATTTTTCCATTGCTATATATGCTCCAAGATGGAGGTTCTCATAGATTAGAGTTAGGACCGCACTACACAGGTGCCTTGACAAAGAAGTGTGGCTTCCAACTTTTTTGCAAAAGTTGCAACTAAAACATCTGTTTTTAATCCTAATAGTTAGACCGTGTAATTTGTTTTGGGGTTTTTTTTGTAGGCTAGCTGGTAAGTGTGCTGGGAAATTTTTGTGTCTTTGTAGTAACCACACAGGGCACAAGGCAATTTGTCTTGTCTGTGTTAGGACTGCATTGGGCGATGCTGCCCAGTGCAGTCTTACGGCCCTACGTATATGGTGTGAACCAGCCATAAAACTCCTCAAATCATACAGACTAAGACATACACTGGGACCATCCTAGACAGAATACTACCCAGCATTCAAGACTTTGAATGGCAGGAGGAAAATGGAGCACCTGGAAAGAAACACAGGGGGAACTTACAAAGCTTTGCTATGAACAGAAAAGGGGACTCCAGAAAGAAACAATGCAAACTATGAGTCTGCCCTCACTAACAATATGAATGTACAAGGATTTGTGGAACGCAGAAGCTATACTCAAAGTTTAAGATGTCCAGAAACTAAACAATTACAAAAAGATTATAAACCAAGACAGAGCACAACCTATTCCTTCCCACAAAAGGGAGGATTTCAATTACAGAGTCTGGAATACAAACATGTGTATTGGAGGGTTTATTTTTCCATAAACATTTCGAGGGAACATTTGTTCTTGTTGACACCGAGACACGGACAAGGATAATATCCATTCTGGGTGTGGGAGATAAACCATAAAAACTGACAAAGGGGAAGGCGAAAGTAACGAGGATAATCATTCGTCAGAAATAATACTGAAGCTAAGTCCATACAATTAATTACAGGTATTCCATGCGGTCAGTGAACACTTCGAACTTTACTAGGTGCCAGATCATAACCTAAGTGGTAAGTCGCAGGAAATACCTGTTGGTCTTGCAAAAAAAATGGCGTATCCTTGTCACTTCCTGTGAGCTTGAGGGCTCTTATGGCCGGAAATGGCTGTACAGCCCACATATCGAGGGCTCTTATGGCCGGAAATGGCTGTACAGCCCACATATCGAGGGCTCTTATGGCCGGAAATGGCTGTACAGCCCACATATCAGGGGTATAACTCTGTATGGGGGTACAAGGTTGCTGTAGAGCCGGCCCATCCAAATCAGTGACAGGCTGGCAGAATCCACCTACGTAGGGGCATATCTCCCACTGTTTACATGCCTACTGGAATGTACGCACTGCCCCGAACTTTGCATGTGGAGCAGTGTGCATGTTCCATTACACATGTAAACAATGAAATTTGCGCATATTGTCATACAGCCATGGCTCCTCCCAACCTGTCAGCCTGCGACACCCAGGCAAAGTTACACAGTTGATATGTGCGCTGTACATCATTTCTGTCCATGTGCAAGAGCCCTAATAGAAAGCACTAAAAACTTTATTTTCCTTAACCTTACCCTACTACTAGTCCCATCAATCTACCATGCAATGTAGAAGAACTGAGGCAGACATGTTTGAAGTGTAGCCTGTGTGACAATCATGGTTCCCTCCATAGATACAGTGGAAAAAGAGTAGAACAGGAAGTGTGTGATTCACAGGTTTACCAGGTGAATATAAAGGAAAAAGGCCTGAAAAAGAGAAAACAAATGCAGCCACCACATCTAAAGACAGGTAAACTGCAACACATCTGAGTTTAGATATCCTTTAAAAGTGTTAGCTGTTCTTGTGATTTAGTTTGTCTCTTA